TTTTAATTGTGAGGATGACAAATGTGAAAATATGTTTATTTCAATTAAGAAACTTTTTGAAAATCAAGATAACAGCACAATATCCATCAGTGAATTTGATATTGCGGAATGTACAAAATTAGCTGAATCTGAACAATCTTTGTCACATAAGTTACATGATTGTGTTACCCAACGTTATCATTTCTCACTTCTTTTTATGATATTGTCCAAGTGATAAACTATTGTTTAGATAAACAACCATACTCCAAACTTCAATTCGTATAATTGAAAATACAATAAGAGCAAGGTTACCTTTTAATTCTTATCTTGCAACTAAGAGGAACATAAAAATAATATAATTCAATTTGTTATAAAATTCACCTCAACAACTATCACACATAATTGGTGCAAGCTTGTAAATCAAATTATACAGGGAAAATCGAAACTGTATACAGGTACAAATGTAATTAAATTACAAGCCAATAAAATCCGTTTGAACAGAATAAAGAAAAAGAATTCTAAGCAACCTGAACATATAATCACACAAAATGTTTATTGTTGAAATATTTTGAATAAAAAATTTATAATAATTCAGCTGTTTTTGTAAACCTTATTGCCCTGCAACATAAAGCAGTGGTTGAGAATTTGTTCTAACTATAATTTTTACATTGTTTTTGGAAATTTAAGCGTATTGTTTAAAGTCCACACAACACTCAATATAAAGTGTAGTTTGAGACTCTAAGCAACACGCTGAAATTTCCAAAAACCATTTGAATAAAATGAATATTCCAACTATATACAACATTTGAATATCCCACGTCCGTCACAATGGTACTGATACAAATCTTCAGATGGCGCTTTTTCCGTCTCTGTTGTTTAGCATTGCCGTGAACCGTCTAAGGCAGTGGTCGCCAACCTCTTCAATGTGTTGAGAGTGTTGAGCTACTTTATTAATTTTGGAATAAACAGCGAGCTACCCACACGGAAGCCATGTAACGCAACGTAAATGAAATAATCCACAGTTAATTTATCATTATATGTATTTATTCAATATTTATATAAAAGTAGTTGCTTCAAAAATATTTTTTCGTTTGTGTAATTCAATGTTTATATGAAAGAAGTTGTTTGGAGAAGGCTTTTTTTCCAGTGTGTTTCTGAAAGTTACTTCTTTGTAGAATTATTTCAAGTTAGTGAAAATGTTAAAATTCAATTTGCAATTGGAAGTGTGAAAAATCAAATTTAATGTCAGTTTTATAACTACTATACCTCCCAGACAACCTTCCGAAGGCATTGCTACCCTAGTTCAAAGCTGCAGATATCATGTATCAGTTTCTCTGTTCATACTGCAGTGTTGCTTTTGCCATTCGCATATCTCTAGGTTCTAGTTACTTCGCATGAGATGTAATGACTATAATAACTTACATTTTCAGCATGAATGGCGCCATCCTCCTTGGCTTCTTCCCCTTCTTCATCATCAGTTTCTTCTCGAACTTCCCCATACATATCCTCATCATCTTCTTCCTCAGATTCTTCAAACTGAACATTTATTCCATAAGTTTCGTCAATATTTTCATCTCCAACTGAGGTTTTATTCTCTTCATTTCCAAAGTCAGTAATTTTCTTTCCCAAATTCAACAGCAGTGCAAAACGCTCGTCTGCTATTGGTCCCAGAAATGTTTCAGTTTCTTTTTTCTTATCTCTGTCTCTTAGTCTATCATTTTTTAGAACTTGTAGAACTTCATCTGCAGCACCACAGAGAATTTCTCTAGGTTGATCGCCCAATGCTTCTTGAAGAAAACTTAAAAGAACTTCATATGTTTGCCGTGTTTCTTGAGTTTTTGGCCTATACATTATTCCCACCATTTCATCTACTCCTTCTGATAGTAAAGTCGCACCCTTCATTCTTGCAAAGTCATATTGAGCCTCATCTCGTTTTAACCGTCTAAAACAAAAAAGTATAGGTACCTAGTATGATTTTTTTTATCAAATTTTTAGCAACATACTTCACTTTCCGCTCTTCTGCTTTTCCAGGTCGAGTTCTTTGTGCCCGATCTCCCATTTTTGTTCCAGATAATTTTCCCACAAGGGACATAACTTCTCCAGTAGCTTCATCTCGGCTCCTCCTTTCGATAAATCTAACATCAGCTTGGAGCACAAGGTTGGAATTCTGGAGATATATAAAAAAAAATTATTAGCAACATTAAAAACAAAAAAAGATATATCAACGGGGTTCAATTAAAGTGTGGAAAAATGTATCATTTTTACATACTAAATTTGTTGGAAGATTATTGATTATAATATTTTAACAACTTACAGCTTTNTCTATTGGCTGGCAACTTCTCCTAATTATTGGTAAAAGCTTAAAAAAAGATTAATCTAAAATGACAGAAGAAATAATGTTCAACTACTTTAGAAATAATACATTGAATGACCGTACTTTTCTCGAAATTACAAACGAGAAAATTTACACACCTTTTTTAAAAAACGCTAAATCAGATGCTTACAGTGTTGATACAATCAACTTGAAAATGATTAATTTAGCACTTGGAATTAGGCAAAATATAGTGCAAATATAACACCGGCCTGAGATAAATTGCATTGAACAATTCTATTTTTTCTGGATCAGTGGCAGGCATTTAATTCAGTGAATTTCAAGTTGCTGATTGCAAAGCTGTATTATCTGGCATTGAGTGATACTGCTTTATCTTGCAGGCTATTTAGATACATTACAAATAGGATTGATGATTCAATTTCGGGGTTTGGAATATCATCCTCTAGAACTCTAGAGTTTCTCAAGGTAAAGTCCTTGGTCCATTTCTGTTAGCTATATTCCCTTTTGACCACCTGAAGCACTTCAAATTCTCAAGAGAATATAAATTGCATAAATATATACAAATGTCCATATTCATGTGCACAAAATGGAATAAGAATCAACCCCAATAAGAGTACGACCTTTACTAAAGGACCAGAAAAACAAACACAATATATCTGTAGTGTGTACATCCTAATGAAGAATTAGTCCCCAACATGAATTTCTGAAGCAACAATAAAGGAGCATTTTTCAAAAGTAAGTAGTTGTATTTGTAATCCCAATCCAAGGAGATCATCCCTACCATTTCCATCCATCAATATCATTACAAATTTGACCATAAGGAAAATTACAACCCCTAAATGAAAATTTTTACTCTATGAATTGTTTAATGAATATACAAAAATGCAAGTAAAATGGTGCGAGTTTTCAACAGGAAAATGTAACTTTTTTTACACGGTTTATGGGATAACACCATAACCGTTAGTACACAAACCTGGATGATTTGCCTATTTCTGAATTTCGGAAATTCCAACTAGTGATTCCATACAAATGAAAATATATATAGCATCATGTAACTGACTGGCCCTTTGCAATTTGGTTATAACTATTGAAGGTGTATATACCTGGTATTTTCTAATAACAATATTAATATCTAGCAAGTATTACTTTGGTATTATATCCTACTTTTGTTGCACAATAATAAGAAATTTTCACTAATAACTAACAAGTGCTGAAGCAAAACAAATTAGAACATCTTCTTCTTCCTAATTTTGGTCTCAGCTTACCAGAGCCGAGAAGAAAGAAGTCAAACTCAAAATTAAAGAAGAAGAAATCAAACGGAAATTTTTTTAACCAAATTTGGTACAAC